TCGTTATATTAAGAGCTGCTATTTGCAGACAGCTGGCGAGCAAGGAGCGTACGCAACATCTGTATGGCGGCTGAAGACGACTGACACTCTAAATTTGGATATATGCACGCATGTCCTAATGGGTATATACTAGCAGTGGGAGACCACTCCAGTGACAGCTATACCACACTCTAATAGCATGAAATAACCACACTTCCAACTTCATCCACAGCTGGCATCTTCCAGGAAAGGAACTTGTAATTTCTCCTGAGAGCTGACACCAAACTGTGTGCATCATGTTAATGGGAATCCTAATGATGGAGATGTAATCATGAGGAGGATGGTGATGATTTGGCAGGCAAATGGAGCTCTAATTAATCCTTACTGGTTGTTGTCATATTGCAAAAAACAACAAGCTAACCAGCTCAACAACACAAGCCCAGTTTCATTCAGTTAACACCAGCTTTGAACAAGAATGTATGAGTCCTTTAGAGCCCACGTAAAATATGTGTGGCTCATAAAACACAGTTAAGCCGTAAGGGTTTGCAGTAGATGGACAGACAGTACAGGGGACCAGTACAGCTGCTACAAACCTGTATGTTGCCAGTCAGTGTGCCAGCTGACTGCCCAGGCTCCTGGCTAGCTAACCTAGCCAGTCAGTCTGAAACATACACAGTCCCATTGTTGCCTTCTCAAGCTTTCCTAATATTAATGCCACAATTTGAGAGGATGTCACCCAGTATCGGGCAGAAGGCGTGTTATTAAGATACAACTACTTACTCTCCGTTTACCTCTGCGAAAGGCATCGTTTAGTACGTCGCCATGGTTTAAAACGGACAGATTTTCTCCCGTTGCCCTGCGCTGCCGAATCACTGCTGCTGCTGCTGTCTGCGGCAGCAACTTCCGGCGCATGCGCAATAACTGGGACGGTTCCAGACAGCACGGTGCGCTGCGCAGGGCAGCCGAGTGGTTTAAAGGTACAGTGGGGGTGAATTCAGTTGGACGTCTACATATTTGTTTTGTTTGCCAACTGAAAGGTGAAATTAGTGAAAGAATACCAACTAGATGTTTAATTATTGTGCCAGCTGTATAACATCAACATACATGCAAAACTTTAGCTTTCCTCTACAGGGTTGGTTAACAAACTCAAAGTATTAAAATGTAAAATAATAGTAGTAATAATAATAATAAGTTCATGGGGTTTTATGTTGCTCAGTTAACTGTGCATATGATGCGACCAGTGGTGTAAAGTAACTAAACATTTAAAGTTAAATACTGTACTGTACAAGGCACTTAAATTTAGTATTTCTATTTTATTCTAAATCTATATCAATCTATTCTTCTATTCGACTATATAAGAGGAGAATATTGTACTTTTTACTCCACTACACTTATTTGACAGCTATTGTCACTAGTTGCTTTGATGATTGAGATTTTGCACACCAAAAACGTATAATCAGTTTATATAATATGATGCATTGGTGCACAGAAGAGGAAATCATCCCAACCTTTGGAGATGAGAGTGCATGGTGATCTGGGGGCTGTAATAAAGTAATGACATAGCATTTTAATTAGTAAGCAATAATGTGTTGACATACTTACAAAAAAACCAAAACAAAAAAACAGCTAGTAGTGTGTTATTAGGTCCAGGGCACCACCAGCCTCCAGAGCAGCTTCAGTGCTCCTAAAGATGATTGATGAATTGAGTGTTTGACGACGATGATAGCGGAGAGCATTTCACTCTAAAATCTCTCATAGGTGTTCAGTTGTGTTGAGGTCTGGTGACTGTAAATGCCATAGCCTGTGATTCATATCACATTTTCATAGTCATCAAACCAGTCAGTGAGCCATTGTGCCCTATGTGAAAGCACCTGCATTCATTACACTAATTTATTCAGGTTTTTCCTTTGATTTTTGGGGCTTGTTGCTCCAAAAGTAATATTTATAATGATCACATGTCTGTTTATTACTCTTTGAGCCTCGAGCAAAATGTTGCCTGTACACCAGAATCCTAATTCACCCAAATTACTATGTCAGACCTACAATACCACAAAATAAATTCATTTATTGTATTGGGGTGATGTTTTTTTAAACATATCTGTGTGGCTATATACCACTAGGGTATATGGTAAAATATGTTTTTTTGTTGTAATCTGGGTGAACAGACCCTTTAAGTTCCCACACTCAAAAAAAAAAAAACTTGTGGTCAGGATATCAGAAATCTCGAAGAATACAGCTTTTTTATGTATTTAACCAGACCAAATTTAATACTCATCAGGTAGACTGGCACAAGATTTGTCTTGAACTGTCTTACCCTTGCACTTTGCATCATTTTGCTCTTCACATATTGTATAATGAATCTTGTTGGGGAAGATAAAACCCAGTGAGAAGACTCGACGGTCAATAGTGTCACATGCTTTGTGATTTGATGAAAGGTTCTATTTGTGTAGCCTGATGTGTATAGCTCCCTAATCAAAGACTTATATTTCTGTGACAACTAAAATAAATTACTCTATTACAAGCGCCCACCTGCCCTCTCCACAGTATTGATACCGTTTTATTACCAGAGAGAGACAGATGGACAACAGGGAAGATTGTGGCAAGTTATGGGAATGCTGGAGAATGTGTGCTTGTGGCCGTGTAATGTCATGTCAGGTTAGCACCTGCACAAAAGTAATCAAATGAGATGATTAGAGAGAAAATTACACACGTTCAACTCCACAAACATTTCTGAAAGCATTGTGAGGGATAAGTCCATGGCCTGGGTTCCAGTAGCCTACAGACTGGGCTTATTACAATACTCCAGCCAATTTAGGCCTGCAAGCTTCACTTCCCCCATCAGCAAGTGAAAGAGGGGAGAATTTGGTCTGAAAGCCCAATCACACACACCGCTCCGAGTTCAGCAGGTGGGGAAGTAGCAGCAGCAGGCTCCATCAGGCAATAATACAAAGTTAATGATGCAGAATGGTGTCTTTCTCCATACCAAAGAAGACGTCAATACAGGATGTTTAAGAACGCTGTTTCTAATTACGCTTTTTAAATTCACCACTGACGTGATTGATGATTTCAAAGAGAGGCATTATTGATCCACTTCACAGACAAGTCACATCGATTGCAAGTCTAGAATGAATAAAAGTTTTTTCCCCCCCTTTATCTCCCCCACTGAGAGAGAGATTGTACAATCAGAGCATCAGTGTGACCTGTGTGGGTAGTTTGGGAGCTAAATCACCTCTTTTAAAAAGCAGTCTGAGCAAGGACACATGGTGCAGTGATTGCTGGATGGAGGGACCTTGGGGGACCTTCAGGGCGTCACATGAGATGCAACAGTTAAAACTCACTGCTTTCTCATTTATAAAATGTGGAAATTCATCCATCCATTCATTAATCTGCGGGATCCTTTACAAATAGCCTGTCTGTGTTGGAGTCCTCAGCGTGAAAAAGTTCAGGAGCGGCTGTTTTACAGACAATCAGCCAGCTGTGCAGCATCACGCCTCTCACTGCAATCAGCGGTGATGGAGTGATGGATGCTCTGACGCACTGACAGATTGTTTTTTCCCACCTCTGCTCCCTGTTGACATGCCCCATGGCTCGTGCTTATTATTCCATGAACTTTGTTATTCCTCATGAGCAGCCAGGTCCTTCCTATTAGTGCAGAAGCCGCCAGTTATTGCATGTCTAATCCCAGCTAGTGATATTAGCAAATCAACAAGGGAGGTAACCAGAGCAAAACCGGCAGAAAGCCTGACATCACCTGGTTCGGCTGCAGAAAAAAATCTGCAAATTCAGGGAGATTTGACCTATTCCCTATCAATACAAAGTCTTCTGTTAGAATTACAGAAAACAAGATTGATTAGGAATCAAGAGCAGACTGGATTGCAGCAGCAGAGGTAGGTTTTCCATCACACCATGCTGAATCTCATTGGCAAGTGCACTTCAAGTGGCAAAGTGGGCTACAGCTTATGATTAAATGGTCTGCAGGCGAAGCCTTTTTGTCTTTTTTTTTTAGAGAGAGCTCTTTCTGAAGGCCAAAGTTAATGCAGTCATAGAAAGAACTCTGATACACTCCCACGTGAAATGGCCATGTGAGGAAAGCCCGGAGGGAGAAAAGGCCTTGAATGAATTTGAGAGGGAGAGAAAGAGAGAGAGAGTGGGAGGGAGGCAGATAGAGAGAAAGTTCAAACATTACTGATCCTCAAATATCCTTTTGGTTTCTGGTTCAATTGGAATTCGGCAGTAAGTGTCTGCTAAAAGCTCCATTTTTGTTGCCCTTCCATTGCTGCTGAGCTTTTAGAGTTAGATGATGACAGATTGTGAGCTACCTGATATCCTTCATCATCCTCCCCAGTGGAGGTGTTTGTTCCGCCCCAAGCAAGTCCTCCAGGACTAACAAACAGCCGGCGTGTTTGATGGACTATGGGGAGACATCTGCTCTGCTTGGCTTCGCCATATACAGAATGAACACTACATGTTACAGTAATCAATCAATATGCAAACGGTGTCCTTTTAGTCTGATGATTAACCTTACAGACTTCATGGTTATCAAGTCATTATATCAGCTTGTCATTGTGAATTAGTACTGAGGAGTTACAGGGTGTGAGCATGCGAGCAGTGTTTTTCCTCAGGTTGGGATATTGCTTTAAGCATGAATGCTCGATATATCCTCAACAACATTGTCACAACTGTGCTTCAAGCACCCTCGGGGATAGGCTCTGTTGTGTACTCGAGAGGGACAAGAGGGAAGGAAAAGGTCTGCACGGTGCAATCTGATTTGTGGTTATAGGCTCACAATCCTTCACAAAGTAATCTAGATAATATCACCCGAGCCAAAAGATCCTTTGAGCGCTGTCATCCATTTTAAACTGTGAGTTGCTCATGTCGGCAGATGTGTTTGTGCATTGTGATGAGCTGATTTAAAATTGCCACTGGCTCATTTTAGCCTCTGAATATCCTGCAGACAGGTGGCTCCCAAACAGGGGCCCCAGGAGTCCTCTGGGAGTTACAGAGGGTTTGCTGCAAAATGATGCATGACTTATATTTTATTTTTTTATTATACACATTATTGAACATGTATATGTAAAATAACCATGTCGTTATTTTACATGTCAAAGTAGTTTCAAGACCAAGAACAGCTTTGTCTTGTCCATGGGAATGATTTCTTTTCCATACTAACATTAGTTCCTCTGACTTTAATCTTCTATTGTATTCCTTAGTTTCATTTCTTTCCTTGTTGTTTTGCTCTCATGCACTCATTCTGTGGTCACTTAGACGCTGATCTGTCTTTCTGATTCAGGAACTGAAGATTATTTTACTGGTGCAGTCTCTGTTGACTCACTCTAGATGGGAGTTAAGGCAAATATCAACATGTAAATAAATAATGAGTCAAGACATATATTCAAGAGACACTTGTGACAAAACCCATTTAACCAGGGGTCAATCTGATATTTGAGTGCACCCCTTTTAGACTAATCTGAAGTCTTATTTGTAGATGAAACATGTTGTAGTTTACACATTGGTCGCTAGGGGGCGGTGCAGCTTCCACCCAACCGTCTGCGAGGACACTCCTGAGAGCGGAAGACGTTTCTCTTTGGTAAAAGCAACATGGTGTCACCCTGTAGACAATGTGAACATAAATAAGCGGCTCTCCTCTAACTCGATAAACACGGTCCCCCCAGCAGAGAAACACCAGTAGCAGCTGCTGGAGCTCAATGGCGCTGAGAGTGTGCGCTCGGTTTCTCAGAGACTCCGCCGTCCTCTCCGGACGGGTCACCGTGTCTGCCCGACAGGAAAGTGCGTCATGGTGTCTCACAGCGGGTCAGTCACTCACATGTCTCTCATATTGTTGTGTTTTTTTTAAGCAAGGAGACATATTGGGTTGTCATCATGGGATAGATACAACGTTTGGAGAGAATCAGTGGCGTACAGTGATGGAGCAGAGCGGTAAATCAGGCCACCTCCGAGCCCTTTGACACACACCTCTGGTTGCTGATAGAAATGGTGTTATGCTGCTTTTAAGTTCGCCTGTGTCATCTGAGACTGTGTGTGGAATGACAGACAGGGCACAGACAGAGTTAATGACAGGTAATGACAACATATGGCGGTAAACAGTTAAGAAAGGTATACACACACACACACACACACACACAAGTATAAACACAAGTCACTTATTTACTTACATTTTACCATTTCTCTCCATTTTCAGAACACATTCACAATCTATTCTCTTCTTAAGTCCCCCTTCACTCAGTGTTTTACTTCTTGTTCCTCCACTGGATGTTTCACTGTGCACTGTGGTGTGTGTGTGTGTGTGTGTGTGTGTGTGTGTGTGTGTGTGTGGGTGCAGACACTGACATTTGAAGGCTGTTTTCATATTCATCTGCTCGCCTCGCCCATATGTAATTTACACAAGGATGGTGTGGAAACACTGAGAACTGAGTTCACAGTGAAGTATTAGACTTCTTGTTTCCAGCAGTTAACCTGTTGAAATGAACAATGTTTACATATTCATATATTCTGTATATTTCAATGGGGGAGAAGGAGACGATGTCATGTGATAAATTTCTAATGAAGTAATAAGGCGTAATAAAGAGTATTTTTATATGTCTTTAAGGTCCAGTGTGTAGCATTTAGGATGATCTATTAGATCTATTCACAAATGGAATATAATATTCATAGGTACGTTTTCATTAGTGTATAATCACCTGGAAATAAGAATTGTTTTTGTTACCCTAGAATGAGTTTTTATCTACAGAGGGAGCGGATCCTCTTTTATTACCCAGAACAGACAAACAAACTACTAGCTCTAGAGAGGGTTTCACAGCCACTGTAGTTCCTCCTACTCACAAGGCGAGCTGTATTCAAACAGCTGCAATCTGCACCTTCACCACTAGATGTCACGAAAACCTACACACTGGTTCTTTAAATCACATCTGAAGGGGATTTTTGAAGATTTGGCTCACATGCTGGGCAATTTGGATTTGAGTGTGTCACCCTACATTACAATCCTTCATTTGTTTGAACTACTGCTGTCTATTTTTATTATGGAGTAATCTGACTTTTTTTCAACTAATCAAATAATTGTTGAAATATTAAAGAAAGTGAAAAATCACAACTTTGCAGTGCCCATAAAGGTCATGTTTTCAAGTTACTTGAAGATAGAGGTGCAACAAGTAATCGATTCAACAATTAGGTGTCAGCTATTAAATTAATTGTAAACGATTTTGATAGTATATAGAAAATTCTCTGATTTCAGCTTCTTATCTGAAAATTATTATTAAATTATCAATATATTAATTGATAAGGAAAATAAGTGTTATTTGCAGCCTACTTGAAGACAAACCAAACCTTTAACAATATTTACTTTGTATGAAGTTTACAATAATATAAAATAGAGGAATAGATTGGTCAGTTCAGTGGTCATTTTATTTATAGTTACTGATAATAACAATAGAAAATACTTTATAGATCTAGATGTCATTTGTTGTGTAAAACCGTATAAAGCATTTACAGTAAGGTTTTTGTGGTTCCCAAAAGACCCCTGATTGTCCACAATCTTTAGAGGTCTGAATGCATTATTACTGCTATACTGTGTCATATTAACATCCAAGGAAGCAGAATTAGTGAGTTACTTTACAGCCGTGCTTCCAGCGAAGTGATGGAGATGTTGATGTCTTTACAGGAAACGCTGCCTGCAGCCGAGGAGGGAGGAACGGATTTATCTTCACCCCTGCTTGTTTTATTACATCAGAGGCATTTCTCAGCAGACTGATGAAAGGCAAAACAGCAGAGGCAGACGGCGGCTTTTATCGCCTTCCAGCCTCAGTTCTGCCGGACAGCGGTAATCAGACCACTGCCTCAGAGATTTACATCCCTAAACTTATCTGATCACAGCCTTTTTCCACATTCTGCCCACGTCATCCTGTCACCAATCTGATGTTTCCTGTTCATACTGCTGACATATTTACTTGTATTATCTAATGGTTCATTTTGTTTGTGTGTTTTCAGCTGAACAGTTATCTTTATTACTGAAACATCCAGATCAGCCTAACAATTCAAAGGTTTTGAAAGTGGCCATAATAGGTGCCCCAAACGCCGGGAAGTCCACACTGACCAATCAGCTCCTCGGCAGAAAGGTCTCCGCCTTAATCGTCTCCCTTCATGCTGTAATGTCTTTCTGAGGAGGTGGTACTCACTTTGTAATGTCAATGGTTATTTCTTAAAGGTGTTTGCTGTGTCCAAGAAAGTACACACTACAAGGTCTCGTGCCCTCGGCGTCCTGACAGAGAATGATACACAGATAGTGAGAGCTTTTCCTTCCTCTTTTGTCATCATTGAATAACGCCATTGAAAGGCCAAATGGTCAATACATCAATGTTTATGTTTTATAGATTTTACTGGACACTCCTGGTCTTACCACTCAATCAAAAGTCAAAAGGTGACTTTCTTTTTTATATTTTTGGTATTTTTCTGTAGTCTGTAGTCTACAAGCAGCATTAATATACAGTGTAATATATGAATGGGCCTTCTGTTTCCACAGACACCATCTGGAGAAGTCTTTGCTTGTGGATCCCTGGAACACAGTCAAAGAAGCTGATATAGGTATGATATAAATTGGCTCTGAATTTACTCTTTTTCATTTAAGGACAAGAGTGAAATATAATGCTGAGTTTCTGGAACTGTATCCCTTCTCAGTGGTCGTCATGGTGGATGTGTCGGACAGATGGATGTGCAAGAAGCTTGACTTGGAGGTGCTCAAGTGCCTGGCTCAGCACCCTGACATCCCTACAGTTCTGGTTCTCAATAAGGTATTCTTCCCCAGAATAAACTGCAGTTGAAGGACTGAAGCATAAGTCTACTGATATTCAATATTTTTATTACACTTGACAAATCACATGAAAGTGTGTCTCTCTGTACTTTCTGACTTCCTGATCCTTTCTATGGCACTCAGCTCCAAACCCATTTGAAACTTCTAAAGATGTGATTCTTCATAAACAGGTCATGGATATATAGTTTTGTTTTTGCAAAAGGCAAAATAATTTCCTAGATCAACTGGGCTGTATCTTTCAGCAAACTTGATTCAAACAGGATTAAATAATGCGTTTGTTTGGGACCATTTTCAGATGAGGATTAATTCACACTTGCTGCTCCAGTGAGTATTTACAGCAGCAGGCCGCTGTATTTGAAATTGAGTCAAAATAAACTAAAGTGTGTGTTTGTTCATGGTAATGTAGGAATATGTCACCCAGTGCAACACTGTAGCTCATTGATGTATTTTGAATAGTTTTTAGAAAACAATGGAGCTCTGTGGCACAGGGGAATAAGATATATCAGGTTTGACTACACAAACAATACTTATTAGTGGGATCAGTTTATTGTTAGTTTTGGTCTTTCCATGGGATTAGTTGACAATAAAAATAAATATAGTATATCACCAGATTTTCCTGGATGCTCTTCTGTTTTTAAGGTTGACCTGGTTCAGACTAAAGACAAGCTGCTGAATATCACAGCACAGTTGACCTGTGGAGTGGTGAACGGACACAGAATGCAGGTCAGGCCAGTGATCAAGCCTCCACGGGCTGAAAAGAGGCCAGAGAGGGCTTCAGAGTTGCCCCTTGACGAGGACAGCGTAGAGCCTCAGGACAACGCTGAACCAAACTCTACACTGAGCAAAGAGCAGCTGAGGGGCCAACAGGGTTGGCCTCACTTCAAGGACGTCTTCATGCTCTCTTCTGTGGATAAAGAGGACGTGGAAACATTGAAGGTTAGATTATGGTCATAGCATGGAATAGTGTCTATAGAATGCATGTTTTTGTTCAAAACTTATATCCTTATACCGTTATGATAAATGACCCATACTGAAAGCAGAAATTAGAAAGTAGATATTTTTAAGTATTTGTTAGTTTTAAAAGACTGCTTTACTTTAGTATTAGTTTCTAATATCTCATTTTATTGTTGTATCAGTTAGTTTTTGTTTTATTTGATGATAATAACTATGCTTTTGTCTTGTTGTGGTAGACCTACTTCATGGTTGCAGCCAAGCCAGGATCGTGGCAGTACCACAGTGAGGTCCTGACTGACCAGAGTCCAGAGGAGGTCTGCACCAACATCATCAGAGAGAAGCTTCTGGAGTATCTGCCCCTGGAAGTGCCCTATTCCATTACACAGGTGAATAATGAACCAGCTAACTGAGTTGAACCAGAGACATCTCACTGCACTGAGTCTGTGGTTTATTTAAAGTTATTTAGACTCACTTTCACTCTGCAGGCTCACTTGTGGCCTCAGCCTCCACCTACTTTTCATGTGCAGTCCTGAGGGGCAATTTTGTCTGGTCCTTTCTGGCATTATTTTCATCGTTCTCTGGATGTTATTTATGTGTAGAATCCCACAACAAACAGTCCTCATTTATATGTTTCTGACAAACTAATAACATATGTGAGACTAGACTGGCTCATGTGTTGGACATCTTTAACACACATGCAAATAATTCTGGGATATGTTGTAATGGCCACTGCTTGAATCCAGCAGCTGACATCTCGTGTTCCAACGTTGACCTTCATTTTATGGACTTCATGGGCACATTGTTAACATTTTAAATGTCTCTGTTTTCAGTCTATTGAACTCTGGCATGTTGGAGAAAATCATGAGCTCCAAATTTCTGTGAAACTTAATGTCAAGAAAGACACTCACATGGTAAGTACTATCTACACATGTATGGCTTGTTGTGTGTCTTGTAAAGCATCTTTTGGGCCAGTTAGTTTAGTATAGTTTTTATTTTATTTGTTACCTAACTCTGTGATTTGGTGTTTTGTAATTTCACTGTCAGATTAATAAAGTACTTTCTATCTTTAATGCAATCTGGGGTAATTTAGCACATCATACTGGGAGAATTGACAGAATGGGATTAGATTTCAGTACGACAAGGGTGAAAGAGCTTGTGCGGTCCCTGTTATAAACGCATTTAAAAATTCAAGTGACCGGTATCAAAACCTGCAAAAAGTCCCACATAGCCTTTTTGTTATAACAAATCAGGACACTCGAATGTTTTCTCCTGTTTGGCAGTTCTTTTTTTGACAATAAGTACATGTAGTGTGAATGTAGCAAACAAACAACTGTGTAAAAATACCAGTTTGAAATATCTCTGTTGTGACGTGACTGGAGGAAGTGAAATCTTTCCCTCCATTACTGACACCTGTGGCCTCTCTAATGGCTTCTTATTTGCCGTTCCCTCATACCTCCAGATTCCTTTTTCCTTGTGTTTTTAACTTGTAAATATTTGAGCAGCCTTTCTGAATCATGCATAATTGATGGCACGATATTTGAAGCTACATCCGTGGTGCTGAAATGTTTCAAGACCAATGACCTCCATCCAAGAAGAGAAACTCGGACCAACACTGTTCTTTAGCTTTTACATTAAGCACACAACCGGGTACAACACAGGCACAACTGACTAAAGGAATCCAGTCTCATCTATTTTATTAATAGTTCTAGGTACAAAGCTGTCTTGTCTGGGTCACCTGGTAGAGCTGGCGCCCCATGTACCAAGGCTGAGTCCTAACTGCAGCAGCCATGGATTCGAAATCCAACCTGTTGCTGCATGTCATCCCCTCTCTCTACCCCCTTTCCAGTCAATCTTCTGCTGTCTTATCCAAAAAAGAGCCAAAATTCCTATACATATATCTATATCTATACATCTATCTATCTATATATATATAAAGCTATCTTGTCCAAGTTCTTTGCCTAAATCTGAAATTACATTTTTTGGGTATGAGAGATGCAATCTTTTAGATGAAAAACAAGTGTCAGTGAAGGTTGTTATTTTTCTGCTAAAATATACCTGTAATCACACAGTTCTAAAACAGAAACAGGTTTTAATAAAGTATTTTAAGGCGTAATCTGTGGTGACTGAGCGGTGACATAGTGGATATCATCCTCTAATAAAGGTGCAATTCGCAATCTTAATTTTATAAAACCTTGTAATAGCTGTTTGCCACAAATACTATGACAATATTTTTTTTAGTTTAAGTTTATTTCTTTTAAACATGCATTTCTGAAATTGGACAGATTTGCTTCTGCTGAATAAAACACACATGATAGTCTGTTCACTGGTGTTCCTGTATTTCCTGTGCCTGCAGAGGATGGTGATCGGCACAGCCGGCAAGATGGTAGCGCAGATCGCCCGAGAGGCAGGTGAGGACCTGAGCCATGTCTTCCTGAGGGAAGTAAAGCTGAAGCTCTCAGTCAAGCAGCGGAAGTGAAGAGGATGGGATTACTTCAGTGGTGAAATCCTGAAGAGATGAAGGTGGATCCTGCTGGATTTGAGATGGCTCTTCTTGTCTTTTTCTCTGCAAAGGAGACGCAGGATAATATCTCATCATGAGTCAGATGTGGAGCTGCGAGGTGGCATATAGCCTCAGTCCCAGAGCTCCCACTGAGATGCTACCTGTCTGAGGGAAAGACATTGTACTCTGACTTTTGCATTCTCTGTCTTTATGAATCAGCGACATCTTCTCATGCAGTCTCATAAGACATAATGAATGATGGAAAGAAGTTACGCATAAGTTGCTGTTATTATAGTGGTGGAAAACCGTGAGGGGTGCTCCCACTTGGAAGAAATACGTCCATTAAAAGCAGCTCACACAAGTAATTAATTATTGGCATTTATTTAGCAATGATATATTTTAGGCAACAAACATGACACAGACTCTGATCAAATGCATGTTTTGACACAAGTTTGACAGCGTGTTCATGGCTGAGCAGGTTTGGCAAGCTGTGAAAAGGCCAATGGTTTATCTTTGGCTCTCAGAGCTTTTTACTTGGCGCTCACTCCTTTCGCGCCTAGTGGAACCTGCACAGTCATGTTCACTCAAATGTCCCTGATGTACCATCCACCCCTGTTCCCTCCACTCCCACATCACTTTAGCCTTCTCCGCTGCCTTTGAAGTGTGGCCATCCATCGCTGCGACTATCACTTTTTTGTTCTGCTGCTTTCTTCCCTTTTTCTCTCTCCTCCTCCTTGCCTGTCTCCCCCCCCTTTGCTTTTTTGGCTCTTATAAAGCCCAGCTCTGCCCCCGAGGGCTGAATTGTCTCCCTAATGGATGGCAAAATGGAGCACTAACCTGATGCTAAAATGGGTCAGATAATGGTGATTGGATTCATTCCTACTGCCTGTGAGTTAACTCGACGGTTACTCTATCCGGGGCATCTTGATGAATAACCAGCTAGTGGCCTAAAGCAAGGGCGACAGGAGGAGGAGGGGGAGGGGAGGGGAGGGGAGGGAGGGAGGGAGGAGAGAGAGGCCTTGAATGTCTCACAGAAGCTGTGTAAGCCCCTCAAGCTCTCCCTGCTCTCTGCAACGGCTGCTTCCCAGTGATTAGACAAGCCGGTTGCGCAGCAGAGATCACCACTTAGACAAGCCAACTGCTGCTTGAAGATATTACAGCTGATGTACGTCCGCCAGCACATTAAAGTGAACCTCCAAACACAAGATATTTAGAATGCTGATACCAGAATAATGAGGGACTCGTTTGTTTGGGAGCCACAAGCTTTATTTTACACCCATCCACAAGTACATCTCCAAAATGTAATCGAAATACTCATGAATAACACATCAATCACCAACTTTGTCGTCCCGCTCCTGATGACATTGAGCGAGGGCCATATAACCCTTACCATTACTAAAACTCAGTAATGGTAACGGTTTGACGGCCCTCCTCTGTGCAGCGGTCCGCAGTCAGTTAGGCCTGAGTGTGAGCTGATAGTGCCGGAGGGGGAATGAAACCCTGGATAGTACATCATCTATACTGTAGTGTCTCTTTAATAAACTTACAGTATAAGATGATATCCTGTCCAGGGCACAAGACATTAACTGAAAGCAGCGAGCTCCCGCTGTGCTTGTAATCTGCAAGGGAAAGGCAGACGACTCATTAGTGATGCACACAGTGAAGGTCGGCCAATGAAAATGTTAATCATATGGTAAAGACGAAAAAAAACAAAGACATGTATTCAAATGCCAGTCAGAAGAAAATGCCCTTCTTAATAATGTGTGCTGTAAAACAAAAAGAGTATTGTTAATCCTGCACTGTCAACATCTGTCACCTGCTGCCGATCCGCCTCCGCTCTGTGTTACATACTCACCATTTTTGCACGCAGTGGGGATGCGGGGGGCATCTTTTATGGCTCGCTGACACTTTCCTTCAGATGCTCATATTTTATGGCTGCTATGCGTCCACGACGGGTCCACAGGCTCCTAACCACTCTGCTTGCTGGGCTCCGGCACTTAAAGGCCCCCCGGCTCATTAGCATACTGTGATGACATCTGGGTGGACCAGACAGCATTGGGGGGGGGGACTTTTTTTCTTATCTGTTGCCAACCTGATCGCCTCTGTCCAATAATTGCCCACACCCTTATTACACTCGACTGGACTTTGCAGAAAAAATCCACATCAATCCTGTTTTTGTTTTTACTGCAAATACAAATGGCATTTATTTAACATGTTCAATAAGTCATTCTGTTGCAGAGTTAATTTTTTAAACATGAATCAGTTTGATTTAGCAGCAGAGAAACAAATGCTTTCCTAGAAGCACTCAATATTTCTCATACTTCTCTAAATATTCTTCATGTCCTCACCATTTCACAGAATTTAGTTGTGAGTTTTGGCCTTTCTCGGTCATACACGCCTGATGAAAAGAACCCAGCAGTGGGCCAGTGAATTTCTTCATCTTCTATTAAAAAGCTGGGAGCTTTATCTCACAGTGCGGTAATACATCTAATGTTCATCATCTCTTAAGTCCTCTGAATCTCATAGCCTTTGGATTTATGCGTGATGGTTTCGTGGGTTGGAATTTAATACTACGATATGTCAGCTGATGTCATGTTATCTGACTTATTAAACTCTTCTTTTTTTCCATACGCTCAGCTAGATTCCAGGATACGGAGAGCTGAGATGTGTTTTTTATTAGATGTGTCATACAGACCAGCATATCAAACGCGCAGCATCAAATTATAGCCGGGACTGTGATGGAGCAGGTAGTAGTTTGCTGTAGTTTGTCTTTAATCCCTGACAGTTTGTCTACATCCTTTAAAAACAGGTTGACTTTGTGAAGAAAATAAATCTTCCATGGGGACTTTGTCCTCAAGCCAACTGGACTCATTGGATTCAAATCTCAAAACTGCTGCAGAAGCTTGTTAAGCACTAATTGAACAAGATCAGAGTCATGTAGTGCGGGATATACACAATATAGCCAGCTCTATTTCAGGTATTGAGTTCTCAACCGATGAATGTATCTGCTCCAACACCAAATCATTAACATAGAAATATTCGCAGTGTGCTCACTTCTTCAGCTACCACTGCACCACTGCTGTAAGGTCAGGTTCATTTATCACAGTTAGTGTAAACCTACAGAGAGAGAGGGACTGTGAGTCCTAATATTTTTAACAATGAGCCAGTATTTCAGTTGAGTGACAAGGTCTTTGTTTGTGAATGCTGTATGTGAACTGCAACATATTCTTTAGGAGGGTCCGGGTTAGGTGGGACATGACGGTCACTCTAGTTAGGGTGTAGGCGCCGGTTCGGGGTGTGAGGGGTCCTCCTGTAGACACAGATAAAGACGGAGGTAGGACTATCTGGGTGGCTTGGTCTCACTCCAAGACTTTATCAGCAACAGAAACGCTCCACTTTTTTTCTACAAATTTCCATTTGCGTTTGCAGATAAGTTTTTCATTCTTCACTACACGTGGAGAGAAAAGGCGAGGAAGCTCTCATTGTGCGGCAGTCCGGCTTTATCCAAAGTAATCAGGGGGAACTTGTTGGGGGTTTGATTAAACTGTTTGCAGTTAAGTAAAGGGGAGAAAAGGTTTCTCTTCGTATTTTCTTGAACGAGTAAATTTAATCTAAATGCCATTACATCATGTAGTGCTCCACATCCTCCATTTCTCTACCACATGTTCCTAGCTTTGACCAGCCTCAACCCCCCCCCACTGGCTCAGATCAGAGCAAAATTCACCACTGTGGAAATGAGTTTTTACATAAGCAGACTAATTAAGAGCAGAGAGAGAGAGACATTATGAAAATGTGATTTTGATCATCCTCTAGGGCTACGTAAGTGTCTGGAGGATTTATTTAACAAAAAAAAAAAATTTGAACGAGAATTACATTTTTCTTCCCTATTTGAACCTTTTTTTTTTTATCCATCTGTCATTATCTGAGGGAACGTTATGTTTCCATTTCAGAGGTATGAAACATCTGGCCCAGGAGTAATGTGAGCCACATCAGATTTTTTCCTTTAATAAGAGGAGGTTTGTTTCCTGTAGGGAGGCCTCAAACAGAGCTGTGGTTTAGGCACAATGGCACAACAGCTACGTCCTTAAAGGTTCTCAACATAATCACCAATAAGTGACTGACTCATGTCGAGTGTGGGAGATAAATGCCACACTGTTATGGTATGCTAATTTCCTATTTAAGGCAAAAATAATCAGCATTTATCCATTAAATTATACAGCTTGTGAATAGAGAAGACGAGCAGCGGTGGAATATGACTAAGTGCATTTACTACATTTAGTATTTCCATTTTATGCTACTTTATACTACTTCTCACAACAGTAATTACTAGCATATTAAGATTTTATATTCTAAAAACATGATAATCTTATAAAATACAACACATCTGTGGCTTGTGACTGCTTACAAATAATAAAGATAACAGTCACGGGCCATCTCTCTGCTGAATGAGTACTTTTACTTTAACTACATTTAGCTGATAATACTTCTGTATTTTCTTCAGCAGGATTTTGCATGCAGGAACTTTACTTTCAAACTGTTTTTACATAATCGTATGGGTGACTAAAGTAAAGGACCTGGGTACTTCTTCCACCACTGAAGATGAGTTGTCCAGGCCAAAAGAGGCGTGAAAGGCAGAGGGAACATGTAGGCCATGTGCATAAGAGAAGCATGTGTGTTAAGGCCAAAATGAAGTTTTTAGTGTGTGTGTTGGGACTGAAGCTGAAATATGTTATTTAATTTACCTAGCCGAGGAAAACCAAAGACCAAATGGGAAGAATCGTGTTATCTGATTATTTTCCAGGTACGTAGTGGTTTCCATTCATTTTTATAACACAGTAAAACAAGACTAGAAACTCCATCCCAATTGCTTTTATTGCTATCAACATGTCATCATGGTTAAGTGGCAGTATAAACAACGTGTGTTTGAAAAGATTAAAGCTGATATAAGATGTTCACAGTGACAGATTTCCAGGTTTTCACTCACTTCAAGTTAGATTTTCCGTCAATACAGAGATGATGATGAAAAAACACTCAAATAACTGCGTCCACACCCACAGTGCTACATAATTAGCTTGTAATCAGTTATATGAATAAATGTGTTATTACCATTATTACTTGTAGAAGTAGTTGTGACAATAGTTGTAATCTTTACGGTTTTCTATGGTCATTATTCATTAACAACCGCAGTGCTGGAGTTTGTTACTGCAGTATCTGCGTCCTCTCTTTGTGAGATGATGAGACTGCCCTCTTCAGGTTGCATATGAACTGTCCCTGGGTCAGATTATACAGCCGTGTTAGTGTCAAGTTATACCGACTCCTTTCAGCCTTTCATTCAATTTTATTTTCTTCATCTTCTTCACAAGGACAATGCACATTAATCAGTGTTTCTATAAATGTGCGAGCCAGCTCCTTTTCAACTGCAGTCCTTGAAGTGACAAACACAGCACAGTAAACACAAGATAAATCATACTTCTTAATAAAATACAAACAGAAATAGTTTGAAAGTTAGTCAAATAGTAATATAACACTAGAAATATAAGCTGTCCTGCACAATTGTAAAAATATGAATATCACATTGTTAATGAAATACTCGTAAATACATGCAGACATTCCCAAGCCATGCAAAACAGACCATCTGGCAACAGGCACAAAACACAGGACAAGTTAAAAGCAAACATACCAAAAGCTTACAAAATATGATGTTTTGTTTTAAATGAAACTACCCAGCAGTACATACAAGTACAGCTGAAAGGATTAGTTGATTAATCAGGTAGTCAAAAATTAAATTGACAGTATTTGGATTTGGAGGAGGAAAGGTGTCACTCTGGGTAATTGTGACAGCACTTTCAATTTAATTTCAAAATGTTTACGAAACAAACAATCAATTGATTAATCATGAAAATAATCATCAGATTAATACATAACATTAAAAATGAGTTGCTGTCCTATACAAAGTAGTTCAAAATGAGCTCTATCTCAACCAATTACAATAAAATCCTGCTAGTATGACGTTATCTGCAGTGAGAAAGAGCAGCTTGCTAGAGTCCAGCTTGTCATGCAGCTGCTGTTAAGCATGTTAGGTGTATACAGTACCTACGATAGCTTTCATGGCAGAATGACAGTCCCAAAAAAAATCCATATATTCCATTAACTATTAGTCATACTCATTAAGTATGGGTACATTTTGAGGAAATCAGTTTCAGGAAATAAAAACAGTTTTGTCACCAGAATCCAGACCTCTGGTAATGTCCAGCTCAGTGGAGGTCACCAGCCAGAGGACACATCTGCTCCTCTCACCCTTCTCACACTCAGGCAATGAAATCTTTGTGCCTGAATTTGTAGTTTTTTCCAATTACTAAAACACAATTTTGCAAACTAGGCTGGCTTTATCAAAATACTTAACACAATTCACAAAACCACACACCCAAACTGCAAAACACCTCATATATCCTGCAAAATGAAGCTCTGACTGCAACCAAAACTACATATAGCATTATCAAAATCAAACTTTTGCACCAAATGGCACACACTTCATTCATATTACCAGATTTTTGTCTAACCAGCTACTTGTTCATAGAAATATTTGCAGACACACACACACACACACATATCCTGTTGAAACAGTTATTTATATATATATATATATATATATATATATATATATATTTTAAGTATTTTTTGGGCTTTTATTGCCTTTATGATAGAGACAGCTGAAGACAGACAGGATGGGGGGACAGAGAGTGGGGATGACACGCAGCACAGGGCCGGAGGTTGGATTTGAACCCTGGGCCGCTGCAGCAGGGACTCAGCCTTGGTACATGGGTTGCCAGTTCTGCCCACTGAGCTAACCGAGCGCCCCTTATTGTTTGATTTTTCACCAAACAACTCAGTGCAACATATGCACAGCAGATATATTTACATTGGAGTGAATAACAATATGTTGACAAAAAATACTGAAAAAAAAAATTGCAGAAAAAATATAGGCCTATATATATATATATATATATATATATATATATATATATATATATATAAAAGACCAGTGGTCTTTTAATAGTGCTTACATCCTGATTGAAGTGGTAACAGTTAACCATTGAGGTGTTTGGCCAGCTGGCACATATATTGGCCAATTAGCTCATGTAGTGTCATTTTGAATGGCAGTGTTTTGAAATGGCAAACATGTGACTTTATGTCAGATTGTTGTGTCTTATGCAGAGAATCGTGTTCAGTGCATTTAAAAAGGGCCATTTTGAATTGCAAAATGTGTGTAAAGCAGAAAATGTGTTGAGAGTTTTGGAGACTTGAGAAGAGGTTTTGCTCTCTGTGTGTCAGTTTAAATAATTGTGCTATGCATGTAATTTTAGTGTGTTAGCAATTGGAAAAAACTATAACATTCCGTAACAGACAGACAGCGAGGCCAAAAGGAAGTGGTATAACATTTATTATAGGGTGGCACACAACACAGAATAACATGAACACATGCTTAAAATGCCATGCTGGATCAGTTGTCCAAAGGCCAGTGTTACATGAGAAGCCACAAGATAAATCTACGTTATAATTTGAATACAGATTATAGATTATTTCTATGATAGACAACAGATGAAGACAAGGGTTAAGGCGTAGGTCTGTTTGGTCTTTAACCACATTCTCCTCTAAAATGCCACTTGGAGTAT